GAGTAAAATAAGGTTTCGATATTTAAAAAAATTCGGACTAATTTACATACTTCCGAAAATACGCTACATTAACCTAATCCTTTTAACCTCAAAACATTGTCAAACAATTTATCTTGCCAAGATGGAGTAGCAACAAGATAAAATATAAGAACAAAAATGACAGATTCAATTATACAAGCTATAAAAGCCAAAACAAATGCGATTGGAGGAGGAATCAATAAGAGTGTGAAAAAAGCAGTTTGTAAACCCAAAAACACTCCAAAAGTCAATAATAATATGAAAACGGTTACGATGGCAGTTATTAATAGAACAAATAAGATTTCTTGAACTAACGACCAATGAGAGAAAAAGTAAGAGATCCCTTTGATCGGATACTCTAATTTGGAACTCATTTCTTAAATATATTGATACGTATACTTTTTTTTAACGTTATGTATGATTTATTTATTTATTATTTATTTTATTTTATTTTTTATTTATTTATAATCGAATAACCAAGTTTCTTTTTTTTTGAATTAATAAAGGTCATCTTTTTAGGATGATTTTATATAATAGTGGAATATTGCCAAAAAATAAGGTGTAATGCACGCATGAGAAGATTTATTATTTCTAATTATTGCGAATGAATGATGGCGGTAAAAATTAAACCGATTTAGATTTTTGCGCGACAAAGATTGGCGTCTTCACAAAATGATGAATATTATGTAAACGGATTTTATCTACGCGCGACCATCATTGAAGAACTACCCCAGTGGCACCGACAGATTTTCACTGATCGAAATCGAATCGACCAATTGGATTACAACGTGAAAATCATGCGTTTTTTAAAAAACCGCCTTTAACTCAAAATTTCATCTATGTAACCTTCTTCTGCGCACTAGTAAAAAAAATTCCTTGCAAAATTTTAATATAAGACAAATCTCGCTATAATTGTAAACCTGACCCTAGTGTAGTGTTTTATGACATTAAAAAATTGCGCATATTTGTTGTTTGTCGATCAGTGAAAATCGGTCGGTGCAACTGGGGTAGTAATCATTGTACGTACGCCTTGATGTAGATTTTTGTACTCACTTGCACAATTGTTAATCAACAATCTTTAATATATATTTCTGTAATTAATATAACTTATTATGATAATGATTAAGGGGAATAACTTTAATTAAAACTTTTTAACAGATTGATTTTAACAAGAAATCCAACTTGTTTGAATACCAATTATTCGTTGTCAATTATATCATCTTGCAGAAATGAATTGGTTCTTGCCATTAACTATTCTTGATATCGCGTATTAACAAATGTTAGTCAAATATTAGAAAATAAAATGTTTCAATTATTCCAGTTTTATGATTATTTTGTTCGAAGCTTTACCATTTTATTCGTTGATAATATAAGCAACAAAAGAACCAAGAACATACGAAAAATCAGTCGATAAGAATCGATAATACGCCTCAACCAGTCTAGTATAAATTTGTCTTTTTCTGATACGTAAGGTTGCATGGGACTTTAGGTCACGAGATCTCATTATTAAAGTTGACTACCGTTACTGCTACCACGTATCGTCATTACGTATCGTTACGATGTTACGACCGGTATACGACCGTCGCGTCAATCGGAGATTTTTTGTCTTGTGTTCCTTTCTGAATTTAGGTTAATGTAGCGTATTTTCGGAAGTATGTAAATTAGTCCGAATTTTTTTAAATATCGAAACCTTATTTTACTC